GGCGGCCGCGCTGCGGGGAGGGCGGCGGGGCTGCCAGACAAAGGGCGCCGCCGCCCGCGGAGCCGCCGCGCGCCCCGGGAAGGCTGAAGGAACGCGGGGAAAGGGCCCGAACGCGGGGAAAACCCCGCGCGTTTGTTCGCTGCGTGGCCTCTGGGTGGTCGGTTCGGTGCGGGTGCGGCTCGGAACTGAGAGATGTGTCCGCACAGCGGCCGGCCGGCGTTTCGCGGTGGAAACGTTCATGCTCTCGCTTACTCTCCGTGGCGTAGTTAGCGGAATTATTATTCCTACCGCAAATACCTGCCCGGAGGCTGTTACTGCTGCATTGGAGGAGCTGGGAAGCTTGTCACCTCGGTATCGCCTGTTTTTAAAGAAAATTGGGGCGATAAACTTAGTTCCGTTTGGCTTTTTGCCTCAGGACCCTGGATTGTGAAGGAGGAGGATTGTGAAGACCCCTGTATCCCACACGACTTCGCCTCAGGAGAGCACCTCGTGCTCTCTTGCTTTCACAGGGACTTACAGGAACTACATAATGAATTACCTGTCATTTAATTAAGTCTAGGCCAGCAAGTTTAGAGATTATTAAGGTCATACATTATCACTGATACCGTTATATATGGCATTAAATACAGTGTACGCTCCTTGTTTCCATAGCCGACCAAGTCAGATGCTACCGGGTTGATGAGTAACGGAGCTGCCCTTCGGGTGTTCTGTTAGACAAAGCACAGGGTGAGAGGCTCCCACCTCAGAGGTAAGGCAGCAGTTCGGCCAGGAGGCTGCTGTGTGTGGAGAGCCTGGAGTGCCTCTGGGGTGGTTTTAATAAGCCCTCAGTTTACTGCATTGCTCATTGATATTATTCTGTTTTTTTTTTTTTTTTTTTTTTTCCTGCCACAGTAGCTTAAAGTAGCTTAAGAAATTCGAATTTAGCCAAAATCCAACTCCTTCTGAAATATCGTATTGATTAAAAATAGTTTATTACATCTTGATCACAACCAACGTTTTACAAAATGAAAAATCGGTTCAATTTTACCGTAATTTGTGGCTGTGACTAACAAAACCTTCATCTAGTGATTCAGAGAAGCGTGTTGGGCACGTAGCCTGATACGAATGCTGTGTTGTAGACTTGTTTTGTTGGGTTTGTGTGTGTTTTGTACAGGTTCTCACTGATTTATATTTATTGGTATTTTTTCCTGCAAAACACTAATGCTGATTGATTGCCTGATTTTATTTGCTTTCCTTATTTTGAAATGTTTGAAATCTAAAATAGTGCTTTCAGGCCCTTTGCATTTTTATTTATAAGGGAGTTGAATTTTCTCCTGAAATTGAGGTGTGCTTAGCTATAACTTGCTGTTCATTGAATATATTTAAATTCTCTGCTAAAGGTTTAGATTTGTTTCTCTGGTAAGGTTTAAACTACACTATGACTTTAACGTTTTCTTTTGATCTTTTTTAGTTATAGTAGAATGTAAACATACCTGATGCTCACTATTAAACTACGATAGTGACTTTTGTGTAAATATATTTTTTCTTGACCTGTTTCTTGATTTTCTTAATTACTGCAATATTTAGAACTAGGAGCTTGACATAGGAAAAACTGGATTGAATGACTTTCATTCTTCCAATTTCACATATTTCTTACTGTTTACTAATGTACACAGTAACTGTTTATAGTTACAGCAATTTCTTTTTCTGCAAACCTTGTTTTCATTCTTCTATTTAAGTACAGATTCCCAAATAAGGCCATCTACATTTACAGCCTTTTTTCTTTTTTTTTTTTTCCCTTTTGATTTGGCTTAAGGGACTGTTAGTAAGATATACAGAAGAAATTATTCCAGATGATAGGGAAGAGCTGAGAATCATGAGATTATTAGTCAGAGTGGAACATTGGGCGGAAATATGCAGTTATGGTTTCTTTCTACCTCTGTGGGCCAATTTTAGGGTCTCTCATAAAACATTATGAAATTTTGCTATTAAAACAGATCCTTGATGGGCTCAGTCCATATAGAAACTGTAGTTTAGGAGATTTGCTGTTTTTTTCTGTGTGGTGTCTGGCTTGGAATATTTCTTTTTTAATGGTTGTCAAGTATCTGCTTGAAGTAAGTAGCGATTGAATAGGGTGTCAGGAAAGACCGGGAATGCTGCGTTTCCCAGATTTCCTGCAGTGTGAATAAAGTGGCAGTAGTATGATTTTTAAAACTTAGGACTAGAACTCCGGAAATTTGCAATTCATTTGTCATGGTTTTACACCACCAAGAGTGTGTCAGAGTACTAAACTCACTTTTGTAATTTTTAAAAATAAATTCTATATTTTTTTTTGTTGTTTTTCACTTTTTCTTAAGTTATAGATCATTAGATTGCCGCTTCAGTTCTTCAGTGCAGTAGTGCATTTGTCTGTGTCTGGTTTGTACATGTGCAGATTTTAGTTGCACTGTAAATGTATTTCCTATTACAGATAAGTGGAAGATCTGCCATAGTACTGTGTAGTTGGAAGGTAGCTTTAATATCCAGAAAAATAAAAAGAAAACTATTTTAAAGGAAAACCTTATCTTTTGTTTAATTCACCATGGTCTTTACTGTGACCTACTAAAAAAGGAAAAAAAAATCGAATAATGTTAGTGTTTATTGACCGATTTTGATGGGTATCCGTAAATGGTTATAGCTCACACAGTGACTAAAAATTGTGAGCTATGAAAAAGCTGGTGATATTAGGGAAGTTTAACAAGCTTAACAATAGTGCTGTATATCTGGAGGTAACTGCAAACTTTACAAGCCTGAGAGTTAATAGGAATGTACAGGTTTGGATTTCAGAACATTTTCAGTCACTCTGATTGCTGTTAAGAGCCACTAATTTTTCTGTAAATCAGCAAATTTTTGCAGTCTCTCCAAAACAGGATAATCTCTGCTTTGGAAGAACAGGTTAATCCTAGAGCAAATATGTTACCTTCCCCTGAACGTTTGTGCTCTTGGTCCATCTTTCCACGGCTTTCAGTTTGTTCTCTCTCGTTGCAACATTTTAGAGCCTTAAAAGATGGGAGTCTTTGCTGTCCTGCCGTGCCAAGAGACTTCTGAGCCTGCACGTGGTCCTTCACTGCACGTGAAGGAACACGTCTAATAAGAACAGAACAGGGGTTTTCTGGAAAGAGGATCAAGTTCTCAACGTGTTTCTGGTTTTCACTGATGAGGGCATTGGTTTAGGTTGGGCAAATACTGTTATGTTGAAGAGCAAAGCAAATACTGCTAAGCTGAGCAGTTAAGGAATATATATATTCCGTTATATATATAGATATATAAGATGCTCTGGAGAGATCCAGTTTTGCATCAGGTAACATCTCACCATTAAGCATTAACCTCCTTTTCTTGATTCTGCGTCTTTCTGTCAAGGACCTGATTAACGTGATGAGTTCATTAGCTGGAGGACTTACAGGTCATGTTTTTATTGATGGGAAGGAAGAAGATAGGAAAGCAGATTAATATTTCTATGTAAGTAAACTATTAAAAACGCTTATCTACAGAGAAGGTTACAAGTTTCTATATTTCAGTAGCAAAACATCAATTTAATTCATGTCTTAATTCATTCTTTTCTGTAGTAAGATAAATCTGGCAGAAGTGTTTAAGGCTTCATAGATTTTTTTTCTTGTCCTTATTTTGTTTGTATTCAAAACCAATACCCTATCACTTGGGGCATGCATATATATTTATATCATTTTTAAAAACTCCAAAAAAACTAAGAAACACCGTTAGACTTTAAAATTTTTGTTTACTCTTACTAATTTTTGTAGAAATAAAATATCAAGTTTCTATTCAGCTCCTGTTGGGAGTGAAAATATCGTAAATAAACTGCAAGCTACTTCCAGATTTTTGCATTATTTTCTTAAAAAAAAAAAGACAGTATAGAAACTTCCATAGATTTTTAAGCCAAGCTGTTTTATTTTTATCTGTTGGTAGTTTTTTGTGTTGTGTTTGATGGCTTTAGATGAGAAGCTAAGTAGTAAGCAGATAAATTTAGGTTGCTTTTTAAAATGGAAATTTCCAGTACTGACTCCCCGATCGGTGCTTTTTCCTTTTTCTGATGGTGGTGGTGCTGGGTGTTTTGCTGCTGGCTAAAGGTTTGGCCTGAACTTAAGGTTTCACATCTGCATTAACTCTGCTGGCCCGATAACTGAGTTCAGGTAGTGATTTCTGAAGCAGGACAGTTATCTGAGGTGCCCCAGGGCTGCCTTGGCACTTTGGAAAAATGGTGATAAGGAACATGAAGGAAGGAGTCTTGCTTTGAGAAGTCACATGCAAACCTTTTTTTCCTTCTTGCAGGAGCTAAAAATTTATTTGTGAAACTCTAGTTGTACCTGGAAAGATAATCCTGTTTTGCTGGTGATTTTTAATACCTGTTTCAACTTTGTTTTTGGTATGGAAAACAACATGGGGAAATAAGGCTCAGCTACCTTAGAAAATCTGGATCATTGTGCAGAGAGTTGACAAAGTGCTTGTGGTAGCAGTTTGTGGATGCAAGTCCCATTTAATGAATTTCTCTCAGGCTACATAAAACTTGATGGGAGCAAGTTTTATGGAATTCAGGTGCCATTTGTCCTCTTTTGTGGCACTTTTGACTGAGGCATTTCGCCTTCCATGTCCTCTGAAAGTGCTGATACCGTACGTGAGCACAGGCAGTACCTACACACTCAATTTGCTTATAGATACACTTACTCAAAACATGCTTGCTAGAGGAGGAAGGGTGGTGTGGTTGTGCTACAGTCTTCATAAAAAATAATTAAAGCAAAGGTAGCTGGAGTGTTTGGTAAGAATCTTTAAATATGCATGAACTTCTGTGCTCTAAGTGCAGTGCAGTTCCTGCTGGTTTCCTTGTGTCTGTTTTTGGCTAGGGAGTTGCTTCAGTTGGGAGTGTGGAGGAATTCACTGACCGCCTTAATGTGAAAATAGAAGTTAGGAGCATTTGCCTGGGAAAGCAGTGGGGCTTTTTGTCTGATAGAGAACAGCCCAACCTCTAGACCTCAGGTAAAACTGAGCTTTACTGCTGCAGTGCTATTAGGCAGGAAAACAATAGTTTTCCAGAGTTATCATTTGTCATGCACTAGTGAGGAGCAAGCTGCTGGAGCAGGGTGGGGAACAGGGAAATGTTACTGTCTTCTGCTCCGTGGCTTATTTTGCAGCCAGTGCAAAATGGGTAAGTTTGGCTTCTGGAGGCACATGCATGTCCATACACTGGGTGCTCTCTGTGATACTGGTGGTTCTCTGAGCTCTCTGTTAGCCCAAAGCTTCCTTATAATTAACCAGTAGAAGTTATGTTTAGTAATAAGGGAACAACATGCCATCACATGCAGCCGTGTCTGGATAAAATTGGTGACAACTGCTTTAATAAATGGGCTTTTCCAGAATTGCACATGACTGTTATTTAAAATTATTGCATATTTTGTAATGATAGGTATTCTCAGTGTTCTGCTTGTGGGCTTGAAAGATCAGAGTTATGCTGTAAATAACTAGCAGATATAAACTGTGTATGTGTGTGGCATATAAAGTTACTCTCATTGTTTTGTATATACAGAAAAAAAATATGCATATGGAGGACAACTATGCATTCCATTCAAAAAAATGTGCTTAGAGTGCACATCAAAATGGGGCAAATTCTGCATTTTTTTAAGAACTACAGCAAATTAGCTGCAAATTACAAAACTAGAACTACAAAAATAGCTGAGATGCAATGCCAATTTTGTCTTCCCAGCTTTTTGCTGAGGAGAACGGCAAGTATTTATACTCTTCCAGAAATATATTAGCGTGCATTTTTTTCTAATGTTGAAGTTAAATCTCATTGACTTTACTTAAGGTTTTCTTCATCTTTCACTTCAATGCAGCTAAGTTCTCCTGTACGAGCATTTTCAATTCTGTGCAGAGATGGCAAGTCTGATGAGTCAGAGCCTGTTGACCTACGTGGAAGAAGGGAATGTTCCTGCTCTGAAAGCACTGCTTGAGAAGTGCAAGGATGTGGATGAGAGAAATGAGGTAAGATGGTTTGTAAAGGTTGGTTTCATGCTTCTGCTTATTTGTTGCAGACTAATAAATTGTTGTTTAGTATAGTAATTTTGGTTTTACGCTCAGCATCTTGCTTGCCAGTTGCACCGTGAACACACGGGATGATGGTTGGCTATTTGGTCACCGAGTACCTCGACATCTTTCAGGTTTTTTTTTGTTTCTGAGTTTTCCTGTAAGCTAGAAAACATAATCTTCATCCATCAAGTGAGAACGACTCATATTCATGCTTCTGTAGCCAGGAGTTTACAGATCCAGATGTGTGTGCATTTGTACCCTGTCCTTTTTGGGATGCAGTATGAGATGATAACCCTGGCCTTTGCCTCACGTTCTAGTTTTGAGGGAAGAGCAGTTCTGTTATATGATCCCAATAGGAGCATATTTTGTAGCATACTCTGAGCATGCTATTGTGGATGAAAAGATACACGTCAAAAGATAAATCTAGGTTTGACCAGGAGGATTAAATAACTTTAGCAGACTTGTACAGAAAATCTTGATAGGTGGCAGGGAGTGGAAATGTGGATATTCTGCATCCTAGAAGAGTGTGCTAATCATTAGCTATTGCACTGTACTTTGTTTTAGTCTGATCTGAGGATATCACCAACAGCAATAAATGTGCTGTAATTCCATATACTGCGCCGAACTATACTGTTCCTCAAAGTTTCTTGGAAGGTTGGATTCATACAAAAGTCTGTTGCCAGTGGCTGCTTCTATTGTTTTTCTTTATGTTTAATTTTCAGATTATCTTGTTGTAATGCAGTGTGTGTGCATACTTGATAAGTCAAATCTTCTTCAGCTTAATTAGATTCTGTGGCTGTAAACATCTGGGCTTTTCTGTCATCTGGGTTTTCAACTTTTATAATCAAATTTTGGTTGAGCTCTGATTTCTGGTACAGTTTCGTGGAACTGGAGCCCTGTTGACTTATGCGGCATATTCAGGGAATCATGGAGTAATAAAGAGTGGAAGGGATAGGTTGGAGTCACGGGCTTTGATTTCTTCCTGGTCACAGGGCCAGTTTCACACATAGGTCAGATTGCTCAGGGACTGAGCTCAGCAAATCTTGAAAGTCTCCAAGGACACAGATCCCACAGCCCTTCTGGGCAGCGCTCCAGTGTGAAACCACTCTTCCTCTAAAACACTCTCCTCCTTTCTCATTAGAAAATCTTTTGCTGGTGCTTGCGACTGTCACTTCTTCTCTTTTTCTTTACGGATTTCTGAGAATAATCTGCCTTTGTTTTCTCTGCAAGACTGTCATTCCTCCAGGGAGAGAAAGATGCTGGTTTTCCACCTTAGCCTTCTATTTTTCAGGCTGAAAAAATTCAGTGCACAGTTTCTGATTGTATGTCTTATACATATTTATACCTGTAACCATTTTATTTTTCTTTCACTGTCATCAAATTCATTGGTTATTTGAGATTTTTGAGATTTTATTTGACATTTATTATCCCTTATTATCTTATTAAATTATTTGAGATTATCTTGTCAAGTTATTTGAGATTTATTATCTCTTATTTGAGAGTGAAGTTATTAAGTTATTTGAGTTTTTTTTTTTTTTTTTAAGTTTCTGGACATACACTTAAAACTCACCATCAGGCTTGCTGTATATCTGAGAAGAGGAATGATCTGTTCCCTCTACTGATAGTTCCCTTCAACATCATGGCAGAAATCAGCCTGATCAGTCAGTGTTGACTTTACCAGCCCTCACATTTTTTTTTCCATGAAATTTTCTTCTTTACTTGATGGAATTAAGGGCACAGCTGGGTTTCAATAACTACCTTTTTTAGTGACCATTTTCTTATTTTTCCCTCTTCAAACCCATGAGGATTGAGGGAGGAGTGTGTTTACAAAGAGTTGTGTTTAAATGTTAAATCTTCATTGTAATTCAGTGGTTTGAATGCAGTGCTCTTTCCAGTTTGGGACCTGCCAAAAAGTCTTTTCTTGGGTAAAAAAACAAAGCAGAGTGTGCCAGCTCCAGGGGAGTATGTCTGAATAGCTTGCTTGCAAGCAAGGCTTTGCTAATGCCAGGACCTCCCAGGCTGCAGTGAATTGTCAGAGCGTGGAATCACCGGCGCTGATACCGACGCTTAATATCTAGACTCCAGAGAAGCTGCCAGGAAAGCTTGGATGTCCTGGGCAGCTTGGGTATGGATGGTTGTGTTGGATTAACAACAGCCATTTCAGTTAGTGTGGAGTGACTCTTGGCTTCTCTCTCATTCTCTCTCTTGCTGTTGTGCCAGTTGCCATGATATTTATCAGGAAATACTGGATACTTGTGCTTTGATTCGGATAACCTGCCCTCTGGTAACCCTTTTTGTGTACTTTGCCTTCTACTGTTCTGATCTGGGCACTTGAAGTAGCTTCTGAATCTTCAACACAGACTTTGGGAGACAGCTATAGGATCTATAAGATTGTACCAATTAATGACTTCCAGAAAGCAGATGCCTCTGTACCCTTGACCATTATTTAGACTGAGTAGTAAGGTTGTCGTTAATGATACAAAAGATCATGGTGCTTCCTACCCATCATACCTGTAACTGTGTTGTTAACTCTGCTCTGTTACATTGCTGACTCTGGGTTTGATTTTTTTTTTTTTTTTTTTTTTTTTTTGTCTTCTCTGTGCTGGACTTCATATACAGTGTGTGCAGCTGTGGGACCATTAGACCACTTAAGCTTCTCCAAGAATTGCTTCCTTAATGGTATTAATGGTACTGAGGGAAGCAGTTGATGCCTTTTCTCTTCTGGTCCATCAGTAACCCACTATGTGCTGAGGATGCTTTATTGAGTAATGACAGAATTGTCAGCTTTGAACAGGTTGCTCGGTACCATCTCCGGTCAGGTGCTGAGCATCTCCAAGGGTGGAGTCTCCACAGACTCTCCGAGGCCCCCAGCCCTTGCTGGTGCCTGGGGTTATTCCTTCCCGGGTGCAGGGCTCTGTATTCCCTTTCTTGAGCTTCCTTAGGCTCCTCCAGGCCCATTCTTGCAGCAGAGGGACCAGCCACTGCTCCTGCTCTCTGCATCCCCAGCAGATGTGCTGAGGGTGTCCCCTCATCCTGCTCCCTGATGGAGACCTCAAACAGCACCGCACCAGTGTCAACTTACTTAAATCTATTTTTCACTATAAAAAAATAAATTGTGTTAGATAGAAAGCATACCCTGCCATAATATTATCTGTTGACTGTCTGTAATGACTCTGGAAAAACACTGTAAAGACTAGTCAGGGAATGCCAGATAGACTAAAAAACATTTTTGAATGAGCTGCCTGTTTTTCTCTGGTTACTTCTTTGTACTGTAAGACAAAGGAATTTATCAACCATATTCTTTAGTAGTCATGCAGGTTAGTCAAGACGAGTGATCCCACCTGTGATTTTTAAATGCGCAGCATTAGCATCATTTTCTCAAATGCTTCGAGCATTTTTTAATTATAAAAAAAATGAAAATGTAAAGAAAGTATGCTTAAAAAAGTTATGTTACAGAGAAAGGGCTGGAGTCAGGAAGAATGTGAGCCATTTTAAGATAGTTGCAATTAATGGATTTTTTGTAATCTGTGCTTCTTACCATACAAAACAGTTGCTCTGAGGGGTTTGCTGTATGACTCTGAAGAGAGATTCCGATACAAAAAATAGTATAATGGAAGAGTGACAGATTGCAGCTAACTTTTAAAAAAATTCTTAAAGGCAAATCAGCCAGTTCTGGTATCTTTTTTTTTTTTTTAATTGAAATAAAGGGTTTCTATTAAGACAGATGGAATCAGTGTTGCACAGGACAGGAATTATGTCGCTAGTTGGTGTTATCCAACAAAGGTAGGATGTGTGATTTGAGTATTTTCGCAAGACTTCAGCAAGACGCTTTATCATTAAGCTGAACCTGTTCTGTGGCCATCATAATACCTGCGGTTTAAAAAAAATTAAAAAAATAAGAAAAAAAAAGTAAAAATAGTAAAAAGCAAAATCTACTCATGCCTGAGTTATTTCAAGATGTAAAGATGTGACAGGCTATGTTGAAGATGTCTTCAGTAGGTGAATCATTAGGGAAGAAGGATGTTCTCAACCCTCTAACTCTCTGGGTAACCATCTTTCAAATGTCCAGTTTATTTTTTTTTTCACTTGAGAAGGAAATATTGGAAGCAGAACTTAAAGTTCTTGTGTAGGCTTTTGCCTTTTACTGCTGTCATATGATGCATTATTTGGTGTTTTACTGCAGCATGTCTTTTGCTCATTGTTTGGTTTCAGAATGGCCAGACTCCACTCATGTTGGCTGCTGAGCAAGGCAACTTAGAAATTGTCCAAGAGCTTCTCAAGAAAGGAGCCAACTGCAACCTGGAAGATGCAGTAAGTATTAGCACTTTATCTTACAGTGCCCAAAATACAAGGAGAAGGAATTTCAAGAGGCAGGCAAGGAAAAGGTAATTAGATGAGTGTGTGGTGGAGAATGGTGGAGAGGGGAGAAGGATGGAAAATAATGACATATAGGAGAAATTTTGTTCAGAATAACTGGTTGTGTATTCTTCGGATTAGCCATGGCAGTGGTATAATGGGATGTATGGTTTTTTGATTGTTTTTGGTGGTTTTGAATAAATACTGAGAGAGAACTTGGATTAAAGAAATGTTTTTTGTGAAAGCCAGAAGACATACAGGTAGAGAAAGCTGTGAATCTTGTGAGTTCTCTTCCTGAGCATGAAGAAGGGGATGACTCCATAGTGAAAAGGTGCCTGGTAGCAGCAGAGAGGGCAGAAACATTCTGAAAATTTTTGTCAGATCTGTATATTTCCGTTAAGAACTATCAAAAGGAAAACAGGGTTATTCATGCTGAAAGTAGTTAATTTGTGTCACACGAGAAAGACCTCTTGCCTCGGCAGAGAGCAAATGGGACGCATTTTTGGAGTTACTTCATTACATCTTCTATAAACGTTGGTTTCTAGATCTATACATAGAATAATTAGAGTATAAGCAGGTACTATATTTATACTTGTAGAGCTTACAAAACAGTCCACAACTACATATTGCCTGAGCAGTGGGTGGAAACCCTGTGTAACACAAGTGGAAATTTATCCCAGTGGAAACAAGTGGAAATTTATCTCCTGGATGCACAACTACGTGAGGCAGCAAAGGAAAGAAGTCTGGTCCTCCTGAAGCAGTTGTGGATTTGGGAAGCAGGGCTCTGCTCTTGAAGCAGCCACATAGGTGCTGTTGCCCATAGTGTCCAAGTGGGATCCTGGGAAGGAGAGGACGTAACTGGAGAGGGTGCTGGGCAAGTTGTCTATGAGTGAGGTTTTTGGTTATTTTCTAAGAAGACAGCTCTTTTAAGGAGCTTTGAATTTCTTACCATGTGAGTTATACACTTGCAAAATAAAATATTTATGTTAAACTACTGAATGTCACTTAAAATCTTTTTTTTTGTAGGACAATTGGACAGCTCTTATTTCAGCATCTAAAGAAGGACATGCAGATATTGTAGCAGAGCTGCTAAATTATAATGTCAATCTGGAGCATCGGGATTTGGTATGTGTGGTCCTAACGTGAAACAGCTGATGTTAAATAGTTAATGTGAATAGTTGCCCTGTTTCCAGTAACAACAAATATTCAGGGAGTTGGAGACCTTCAGTTCTGTAAAACAGATTGATAAGCTTTATCATCAATCAGGTCTTTATCTTAATGCAGTGCTGTTAAAATGGAAAAGAATATGTGTGTGCGTGTGTGTGTGTATATATATATATAAAGAATCGAACGGTTTTGTGATAGATTTCTGTGTTAATAAGGACTGCTTATTTTATAAGGTGTCTGCTTATACACTGGGCAGATTTTGCTTTGGAAAGAAGCTGAACTGAAATGTTAGGTTGGTAAAATAAGTTTTTTTTTACCCAGACGAGATTCATATTATAATTGTGTTTTTATGCTGTAGAACTGTGATTATTGCTATAGCAGTTTTAAGTTTTTAAAGAGAACTTTTCTTTTTTGGTGTTTTTCTGAATTGTGTTTGCCAGGGCGGGTGGACGGCTCTGATGTGGGCAGCCTATAAAGGCCGTACAGAAGTAGCTGAGCTGCTGCTTGAGAAAGGAGCAAATCCCAACATCACGGGATTGGTAAGCTTTAGTCTCTAGAAAAAAAGGAAGAAGCAAGTTTAAAATTCTCAATTATCTATTCTCAATTATATCTCAATTATCGATTATTTTCACCTTTTTTTGTGCTCTCATACTCTGTTAATAACGTGATGGTGTTGAATTTGTGTCACAGACAGTATTTTTTATTTAAAAAATTGAATATATAGATGCTAGTAAGACTTAACTCATTAGGAGAGAAATACTAGAGAAGAGTAATGTATGTAATGTGATCAGTATAACAATTCACATTTCTGTTTCTGCATCTGTACAAGTTAATGGATTTACTAATATTGTACAATCTAGAAATACGATATTATATGTTAATTATTACCTAATAATTAACATGCACAGCGTACATTCATGACTATGAGCAAATCATACCACCACGACTGAGGTTTATTTTGGTTTTTTTGCATGTAAGATTTGTCATAAACATCGTAGGCATCTTGAAACTTGAATGACCAAGTAATTTGTTTATGTGGTCAGCTCACTGGTACTTGGGGCACCAGTGAGTGGGTAAAAGAGAAACACAAGAACTTACCTGTCTGCTTTGGAATTTAATCTGGCTGGCACATGGAGCTTCTGCGTGTGTGCAAGCTGCTCTGCAGTCTCAATTAGTTCAGGAGAATTGAGAGCTGTCTCTGTATTATAAAGGCATATTTGGAGGTAAGGATGTGAATTTTAAAACTTTGCTTAACGAGTTTTAAAATGGTGTCTATTCCAAACAGACAACTTTGTAGCCATCAATCAAACAAAGTACTAGGCAGCAGTTGGATTTAAATCTGTGTATTCCTTCTTCCCAGTTTTTATCATCTCTTGAAGCGTTCTGATCGATATTTTGTTATAGCTGAGACTATAATTTGTTCACGGGGCTAATTCATTTTTTTTTCTGCCTTTTAAGCAATACAGTGTTTATCCAATTATCTGGGCTGCAGGACGAGGCCACTCAGATATAGTGCATCTCTTGCTACAACATGGAGCTAAAGTGAACTGCTCCGACAAGGTGAGTTGTTTAATAGAGACTAACCTCTTTAGTGCTCGATACCACTCCTGGAAGAAAAAGTTCTTAGCATGCAATGTCCTAAAATAACTTTTGTATCTAAAAAGAAATCAAAATGTATCCAATATTTTCTGTTTTTAAAACACCTGCTGTTAATTACTTTTTTCCCCCACTCATGAGATTGGAATTCACGTGCTAGGAGTCTTGATACTTGCAACTGTATTGCAGATTTCTTGGAGGATGCTGGAAATGATTGCAGTGAACATGATTATGGGGCAGCATAATTCTATTTTTTAAGCTACTGGAAATCTTGCTGTCTTAAGTGGCATAGGAAAATAATTCTTCTAGCTAGTTACCGCTAAAGAAAAGAGGTTAAAATAGGTTGTCAGGTGGTTTTGTTAATTCTCAAGGTGAAGTTATGTTTTTGTAGGTTTAATGCTTTAAAGCATAGGAAAAATATTGAATTTAGTTGATAGTGATTACAAAGATTAATATATTAAAATCTTATTAATATTTTTTTCAGTATGGAACCACCCCTCTGGTTTGGGCAGCAAGGAAAGGTCATTTGGAGTGTGTGAAGTACCTGCTGCAAATGGGAGCTGATGTTGATCAGGAAGGAGCTGTAAGTAAAAGTAAATGTTGCTTTTCTGTGGTAAAATGTAGGTACATAAGTCTTTTTTTTCCCTTCATTCTAAATACCAAGCTTTATATATGTAACAAGATGAAATATTAATGTCAGAGTTTATTTTTTTAGAGCACTTTTTTCAAATGACTGTTGAGTACTACTTAGTCATTTTTAGTATTTTAATAAAAATATTATGTAACTGTTATGTCATATTGATAGTAGACAGGTGACATTCTGTTATGTAGCACTGATGTTTTAATGAACTTCAGTGAATTTAAAATATTTTCTTTGGTGGGCAACTATCAAAAAACATTCTGTACCCAAGACTGATGAGCCAAGTATCTTCTTCAATAGCTGGTTAAAAAGTAAATCAAACACAAGGCATCTTTTTTTTAAAAAAAAAAAAAGTGACTGCTATGCATTTTTGAATGTTGGACAGTATTTTAGAGATTTTCAGCTATGTGTATTGGTCTTCATAATACAGTGCATTTTTGTGTATTTCTCATGTAATACATTACATTGGACAATCTAAAATACTGATAGATAACAAAACATCATTAAAAGTTGGGTAGAAAATTATGTAATGGAACTTCTGATATTTATGTGATTATTTCTGAAGTTCTCCTAAATACCTTTTTCTGGCACACCTTTTGGCCCATCGAGGTCCTCTGGTGAGTGCTGTGTTCTCACACAACATGAAAATGACTATAGGGTGCATATGGCATATGCAGGAGTTAGCATAGATGGATATGAGTTATACTGTTTGCATTTAATATATTATTTTAGTGCTCTATTTTCCTTGCTTTTTAAAAATATGCTTACCATGCTTTCGATTTAAAAGAAGTAAAAGCTCTGAGGTAATAACTGAATGGCGAAGAAAGTAATGTGTCACTTAGTGTTTTTTTGTTTGTTTATTTTGTTAGTTAAGCTATTATTACAGTGACAATTTCTTTTGTTTTAAGAATTCGATGACTGCACTTATTGTAGCAGTGAAGGGTGGCTATACTGACTGCGTTAAAGAAATACTAAAAAGGAACCCAAATGTAAATTTAACAGACAAAGATGGGAATACAGCTTTGATGATTGCCTCAAAGGAGGGCCATACTGAAATTGTGCAGGATCTTCTCGATGCTGGAACTTACGTGAACATTCCTGACAGAGTGAGTACATTTTCTTGCCATAAATATGGTTGTGTGTGCATGTTTCTTTTTGTATGTGTGCTTTAAAAAAAAGGTATGTGTGAGTATATGCAGATTAGAGGATAGACAATTTTCCTGTATATGATCATTTTCCTGTGTGAGTATATGCAGATTAGAGGATAGATCATATTTCTGCAACCGAAGGGTATTTTTACCTAGTGCTGTTTGCTGCTGTTCAGAATACCTGCTCTGTAAAGGCATACAAAAAGCTATTACCTTTTTTCTTCTGTTTTTATTGTAAGATGAAGCTTTGAACTAATAATTTAATTTTTTCACTTGTTTATTCCTTGAATTAGCAATTTCTTTCTTTTACCTTATACTGCAGAAGTGATCAGTCTTGTTATCTTTGTTTACCCTATCTGTAACATGAGTAATACTCCGCTAACTTGAATGCTTCATTTTTTTTGTGTAGCAATATCTGCAACAGTGCTGTTAAAACTAGAGAACACGGGATGATATTACAAACAAAATGAATATATTTCATCTACCTTCATCTTTTATAATGAAACATTTTTTTAGAACTCTCTTGTGTAAATTAGAGGAAGTGTAATAGGACATACAGTATATTTAGAGGAAGAGAGTGAGACAACTAAATGTAACTGTTGGCAGGTGCCCTCTGTATCTGAGCTGCTGTTGTGATACTCGGTGGAAGCGTCGGTGCAGGCAGCGACCAGAGCATGAATGGGTTTGCCAGACGCTCAAACTTTCACTCAGTTGCCTTTGCAGAGGAATTTGGGCTGCCCATGGTCCCACTGGGATATTCAGGTTTTTCTGAAGTGGCAGATGCAGCTGAGCAGGATGAGAGCTTCTTGCCTGTGAGGGTGACAGAGCCCTGGAACAGGCTGCCCAGGGAGGCTGTGGAGTCTCCTTCTCCAGAGGTCTTCAAAATCCACCTGGATGCCGCCCTGTGCCCCGTGCTCTGGGTGTCCCTGCTGGAGCAGGGGGTTGGACTAGACGATCTCTAGGGGTCCCTTCCAACCTTGAACATTCTGTGATTCTGTGATACCCTAGGGCAAGACAGGAGCTTAAATACGCACATGAAAACCCCCCTACATTTAGCTGCCTCTGTCAGGGTGAAAATTTTGTGTTAGAGCGATCGTATGGCTTTGAGGTGGAATTCCTAGTCATCTATACTTACCATAAACTTTTAGAGGCTGTAGAGGAGGGAGAAAAAAAAATCCAGTATCTGTTTTATACCTTAAAAATATGATTTTTGGTGTATTTTTCCTAGATTTCGAAGATCAACCAGTGTCTTTCGCAGGTGGCTTCACAGCAAGCTGCAGTGCTGCATATATTTAAAAAAAAAAAAAAAAAAAAAAAACCTTCAAGCCTTTACCAGAGCAAAAGCTAAAATTTCCAGAATAAACCTCCCTTCCCATCTCTTTTCTCACAAAATTCTGCAACTGTCCACTCCTCTGCTCTATGGAAAGGAAGAATTACAACTTTCAGTGCAGTTGATTTTATTCCAAAAATATGTGAAGTAATGATGAGTCTCGTTTTCTTGCTTGGCAGTCAGATACGTGACTGTGATTGATAGGAGAATTCTTTCTTTAACTGTGGAACTCTGTTCAAAACCTTTTATATTTAGCTTTTGTTTTTTTTTTTTCCAGCTAACTGCAGTATTTTAAAAATTTGAAAAATCCTTTTTATGTTTGTTTGCCGTATGCTTTTAATAAATAGATGACAGTTTTTTCCTATTTCATCCCAAAAAGAAGTATTAGGTAATTTCAGGATTTCATTTTCTAAAGCTCTGACATATCCTCCTGTGTTAAAATCAGAGGCTTTAAACACAGTTTTAACTGCTTCGTGTTTATACTACACTAAAAGTATTTTTAATCATTTTTATGAGTTATTTGAGATTATGAGATATTTGAGATTCATTTAATTTTAACATAGTATAGCAAAGGTATACAAGACAGTAGTCAAAAGTGTGAACACACACACCAAAAAAAAAAGAAAAAAAAATCTTCAGGATATTCTATTAGCTATGGAATGGCTAAAGCAAGATTAGACAATCTTTCGTAGAGAGATTATCGTTGTGGGCAGCTGGTCTTTCTGTGAAGCAGCTGAGTTTTTCCATATGTATTTATAATATATGCTTCCTTCTTTTCTGAGATAATAGTTTAAGCTGAGCTCATTTTAGGTGTTTGTTTTGTCATAAACATGTATTATTTCATCTCTCTGGTGAAAAAATAAAATAGTATTTTTCACCTCATACACGGTGTATGCATCCAAGGATAGAAGTATTTTTTATATCTTTCTTTAAAATGATTTTAAGTTTCTGAGTGAAAAAGACACAGTGTATAATTAGAGAGTATGACTTGTTTCGTGATGTCTCTCTCCTTTTGCCAAATAGTGCTAGCTCAGCATTGATGCTCTTTCACCATTCTTCCAGAGTGGAGACACGGTGCTGATCGGAGCTGTGAGAGGAGGCCATGTGGAAATCGTGAGGGCCCTGCTCCATAAATACGCCGATATAGATATCAGAGGCCAGGTAAGTCCAGCAGTGCAAGTGCTGTTGCCTTGCTTGCTTTGCTGCTTTCAGTAAGTTCCTTTTCCACGGTTCCTGACTTCGGTGTTGCCTGCCTACCCCTCCTGCCCTTCGTGTGTGGTGGTGGTTTTATCCTTCTTCCAACCCTGCTGTTGCTCAGCACAAAACCTGCTTTCATTAGTGTATCTGTCAGCTTCTTGTTGATGTGGGTCTGAAAACTGGGAGGTTTTCAGTGTCTTGATACATGGTAGAGCCACAACAAGCAGGCAGAAGCTGCCAGGAGAGGGGAGCTGGAAGCTTGGGCTTCTGGCACCGTGAGGATGGCTCTGTCCCTGCTCGCAGCTGTTAACCTTGAGAGTGCTTTTGGGGCCTCACTGGCACAGGAGGAGGAACCATCATGGGAGAATTCTGGTTGTTCACATGAGACATTTAAAACAGGACCAGTGATACCAGAATTGGTAATAAGTACTTTGTGTTTTTGTTTTGTTTTGCTTTTGTGGGAGACTTGCAGCCTGCCCAGAGCCTGGGTTTGTGACGCTGCAGCAAGATGACTGGGTCCTTTGTGGCCTTGCAGCTACTCTGCCTTTTGCTGATCAGTAACATGCCCATTAATGTGATTCAGCCAGGGGAAAACTCAGATAAAGTGTGACTAGAGAGAGCTCAGTGGCCAGGAATAGGGGTAATGGAGACCTGGGTTGTGCCCTCCTCAGTCCTTCTCAGAAGAGGGGCAGTCTCAGTTACAAGCACCTTGCTGAGTGAGGCTTCCAGAGAGGATTCAGTCTCCCCACTCTGCGGCCTTGTTGGAACCCACCTGGCTCAGCCAGGTTTTAATATGGGTAATAATATTTATTTTGTCCCCAAATTCCACAGAAGTACTAATTAAATTAGGTAGCAACTCCCATTGTCCCAAACTGTGCTAAAATTGTGCTATGTAGTATTCTATTTTCAATATGATGGTTGTATTTTATATTTGTCTTTGCAGTTGATTAAATTGCATTAAAGTACTTCTAACATCTGTTACTTTTAAAATCTTTTTATAGGATAATAAGACTGCTTTGTATTGGGCAGTTGAGAAAGGAAATGCCACAATGGTGAGGGATATCTTGCAATGCAACCCTGATACTGAAACATGTACAAAGGTAACCGTTAATTACAGAAATGAATTTATTTTACTAAACATTTTCTCAATTCCTACATAATGGGAAGATCATCATAACCAAGTTCTGTTGTTCCTAACTGTGGAAACCTGTGCCTATTTAAAAAATAGTTACAAAGTTCTCAAAGTTACATATATTTTCAGTAATATTTTCAGATCTTTTGTTTTTTATCTGCATCTTCTCTTTCTTTATTCAATACTTATTAACAGAAATGTGTCTTGTGTACTGAGATTGTAATCATTCTTGGTTGCAGTATTTGTGATACTTCTTCAAGAACATATGCACTGAAGTGTTACAACTTTCATAGTAACATTTTTTATTGAAAAAATATTTCTTAAAAGTTAAGAATTTAATCTGAAAACCATCTTAGCATGTTTACTTGAGCATAAATGGAAGATTTTTTATTAGCTCTACTTTCCACTTCTAGGATGGAGAAACACCACTTATAAAGGCAACCAAGATGAGAAATATTGAGATAGTAGAGCTCCTTCTGGACAAAGGAGCTAAGGTTTCTGCTGTAGACAAGGTAAAGATTCTTTGATAACTTATTTTAGTATGTTTAATCCTTTTATTTTGTAGGGGAATTTTGTAGTGAGCTGTGGAGGATGAAACAGGAATCACTTTTTCTTTGTTTTGTTCTGTTAGGTGTGGGATAGGAATGATTCTGTTTTCTGAAAAGCATTCATACCTTATTTTTGATTTCTATATTTTGCACTATGGATATGTAACTCTTACAATTATGATGTTAAATGGAACAGTAATTTTGCTAAAGGAATACAGTAATAGGATCTGAGTTTTTGACTTTACCAGCATCATGACTTGTCCTTGATTTCTCCTTTGACCAAAATGAGATGGAGTTTGAGACAGATGATTGTAAATGATTGGTTTTGTTCTGGAAAATGTTAAAACTGCCAGAAATAAAGTGGTTGGGCAGTGGTTGCTTGTTTTGGTTTATATTTCTGAACTTCACTGTGCTGGTCATTCTTGATGAAATTTAGAAAAAGCAGATGCGATTTTTTTTCAGTTGTCTATTGTTGTTGTATTAAAAGCCAGATATAAGTGCCACAGGACAATGGGACTGGATCTAGGAATGATTATCGATGATTTTTATATGACAGTTATTAAACAGGCTGATTTTTGACTAGTTCTAATATTTGATGCTTAATTATTTATGGACCTGATTCTAGAAAGCTCATATTTAGTGTATATCAGAAGTCTAATTGTTTACCCTCTTGATTTAATTTTCTATGTAATAAAATACAGTCCATGGCGTAGTCTCCCATAGACGCCCATAGAATTAAGAAGAAAAAATAAGTTTCTTCCCATTGTTAGTATTTTGAACTTTTGTTTCTAGTAGGATGATTTTAGTAACATGAAAAAAAGCATCCATATGAGGAATAAGAATTTACTTCTGCCTTGTCACGTCTTTTGTAAAACTTTGATGCTTTGAGGAAAAAGGCATCTGCCGTAAGGTGTTAATGGTATTAAGAATTCCTTAAATTGTATTTCAAGTAGGTAATATATCTGTAGTGATATAGAGCATATAGTCCATTTGTAATCTTATTAATTTGTGTTAGATATCACTAGTTTTTCACTTAATTGCAGAGAGGAGACACTCCACTTCACATTGCCATTCGTGGAAGGAGCCGTAAACTTGCTGAACTCCTCTTAAGAAATCCAAAAGATGGTAGATTACTTTATAGACCCAACAAAACAGGAGAAACACCTTACAATATTGACTGCAGCCACCAGAAAAGTATTTTAACACAGATATTTGGGGCCAGTAAGTATAAGTATTTATCTTTTACTCAGTTCCAAGTGTATATTGAAGAAAATAAAGCTTATTTTAATGAGATAGTAATTCAGAGAATAATTTTCTCCTATGTTGTTTTTAATGCACTTGTAGATTAAGAATCAAATTTATTCAGTTATATGTTTTAAACTGGAACGATTCACATTTTTAAATGCCTGCTTGAGATATTAAAAAACAAAACAAAACACTTTTGTCATTCCAAAATTCCAGGTCAAATGTGCCTTTGTGTTTGATCTATGCCCTTTGACATGGTATATTGTGCAGCTTATGTTGATGGTTTTGTTTTTACTTCACTTTTGCTGATGAAAGAATTATTTTCTCCAGCTTGTTGTGATTTGAGGTTTGGGTTTTGGTCTTAGGTATTAAGCTGTATTAATTTTTCTAATTATATAACATTTGTAGGGGTGATTTCAAATTCCTGCGAACAAGAATGTATGAGTAGTAGCTTATGTTACTTCCCATTAAGTGGGAAGAAAATGTATACAAATGTAGGTTAAAAAAATGCCATGATTCCATGTATAGACATTATCAAGTGGAAGAAAAAAGCTTTATATGAGTATTTATGTTCCAGGGCACTTGTCTCCCACGGAATCGGATGGCGACATGCTGGGCTATGATCTCTACAGCAGTGCCCTGGCTGATATTCTCAGCGAACCCACCATGCAGCCGCCTATTTGTGTGGGGTTGTATGCACAGTGGGGAAGTGGAAAATCTTTTCTTCTCAAGAAACTGGAAGGTAACTTTTCACTCGGCCTTTTGTACAGATACAGATCCATACGACTGCATTGTGTGCAGATGCAGATCCATACTACTGCATTGCAAGTGGTTGCAACAAACATTAGCCCATCCCTGTCTCTGCAGCAAAAGAATTTAAACTGTAGCTCAGTTTAGTTATAACTTCAGTCATCTTTTTATTCTGCATTCTGAATGTTTCCTCTTTAAATAGATCCTAAATACATTTTTCAGGAATTCTTGTCTGAGTAAACATGAATCAACAAACAGAAAATAAATTTGAAAAAATTTTACCTAGTAATAAACATGATGATTTCGCATATTTGGTGCTAAGCTATTTTGTAAGCTATTGAAGGAGCATAGATTTTGGCATGGATTTAATACGCCTTTAAAAGAGAAAATCTGCAGCAAGCAGTTCAATAATTATATAGTTGAAAGATTTCATTCATTGTACGGGTGAAAAGTGATTTTTTTTTCATTAAGACTTGAGTGTCTTTTCAAACAGTGTTGTCTCTTTTTTGTTGGAAATCAATATCAAGGCAAAGTCACAAAGTTGAGGTAAAGCAAGGGCTTTTCCTCAGAAAAAAAGATTGTTGTAATGCCTCTTTTGCTCTCTGTTCTAGAAAGATTATTGACATATTAACATATTAACTCTTCTTTTGGGGTTTCAGATGAAATGAAAACTTTTGCGGGACAGCAGATTGAGCCCCTGTTCCAGTTCTCTTGGCTTGTAGTATTTCTTACACTTCTGCTGTGCGGAGGTTTGGGATTATTGCTTGCTTTCACAGTGGATGCAAAGCTTGGAATTGCCGTGTCCCTCAGCCTCTTAGCAGTTCTCTATATATTCTTTGGTAAGTCTGCTCTTTGATACAGCATTTTTTATGATGCTGCTTAGTTTATTCTGAGAAGTCACTATTTTCTGTCTTGTAAAGATATTTTGTGATTCAGAAAATATTAAGTATTAAGTATTTTTATAGAAAAGAGAATCCCCGATGATACTTTCTTATGTTTTACATAACATGTGAGAGGCCATTCTTGAAAGCAAAGCAGTTTTTTTTATAAAATGTAATTATTTTGCTCTTGATGCCATTTTTAGCAATAACTGTTATCCAATTATTCATCCAGCTTGTTTTACACGGCTCCATTCCCATCCAAACTTCATGATTGTTTCAGTTGTGAATATCTGTTGAAATCCATTGTACAAAATGTTTGTTTCCAGCTGTAATTTATTTCGGTGGCCGAAGAGAAGGCGAGAGCTGGAACTGGGCCTGGGTGTTAAGCGCCCGGCTGGCGAGACATATCGGGTATTTGGAGTTGCTTCTCAAACTCATGTTTGTGAACCCACCAGAACTACCAGAACAAACCACCAAAGCTTTGCCTGTCAGGTTAGTGTCACGTATTTACTCTTTAATAAAAAATTCAACTTTGCCCTAAAATTTTTCACTGTACATAAAAATGTGTGAGTTTATCTTCCCATGGAATACTGTTGAGATTTCTGTGTGGAAAATAGTAGGTTTAATAGAAGATACAGTTAAATTTTTGCGTGTGAAGGAACTAGTGGGGTTTTAGGAAAAAGAAATCTCTGTTCTTGGCAAATTTAGTGAAACGTTGCTTTTTAGCATGATGGTCCAAAATCCTAGCACTAATCATAAGGATTAAAAATGCTTGAGAGTGCAAGTTGTCAAGTTGCAATAGTTGTCTTAAGGCTGGGGATTTCAGAATATTTCAGAATATTTCAGAATATTTAAGGTTGGAAGGGACCTCTACAGATCATCTAGTCCAACCTTCCTGYTCCAGCAGGCACACCTACAGCATGTGGCACAGGGTGGCATCCAGGCGGGTTTTGAAGACCTCCAGAGAAGGAGACTCCACAACCTCCCTGGGCAGCCTGTTCCACTGCTCTGTCACCCTMACAGTAAAGAAGTTSCTCCTCACCTGGAGACGGAACTTCTTGTGYTTCAGCTTGTGGCCATTACCCCTCGTCCTRTCGCTGGCCACCAGTGAGAACAGCCTGTCCCCTTCCTCCCTGCATTCTCCCTTCCTGAACTTATACATATTAATCATATCCCCTCCGAGCCGTCTCTTCTCCAGAGAAAACAGGCCCAGCTCGCTCAGCCTCTCTTCATACGAGAGATGTTCCATTCCCTTAATCATCCTGGTTGCCCTTCTCTGGACCCTCTCCAGAAGCTCCACGTCTCTCCTATAATAAAAGATAATTTTTGATCTTTTTGTTGCTGACTGAGCCCTACTATTAGTGATGTGCCTGTTTTTACCTTTTTATAAAGTCTAATTTTAGAATAGGAAAAACGGCCAATACATAGATAAAAGGAAGAGAAATAAATAAGTATGTTTAATCTCTCTATGAAATTTAAGTATTTTCCTTTTTATCCTACTTGGTCTTCCATCTGCAGATATGCAGGAAAATAATTTTTCCAGTTGCCAGAAAATATTGAAAGCCTTCTAATCTATACAAAACATCCTCTTTTTCTCTTTCAGATTTCTGTTTACTGACTACAACAGACTGTCCAGTGTGGGTGGAGAAACTTCCCTGGCCGAGATGATTGCCACCCTCTCCGACGCGTGTGAAAGGGAATTTGGTTTCTTGGCAACAAGGCTGTTTCGAGTTTTCAAGACTGAAGATACCCAAGGTTTTAATTACCTGAATGACCTTTCTGGTTATTCCATTTCATTGTGCTGTTACCAGAAATTCTGTTAAACGAAGGCTTCTGAAACTTGGGCTTAAAACATGCAGAAATTCATATAGACTTAGAGGAAGAAAGGGGGAAACTTCACCTTGTTCTAGGGAGAAAAATGGCTTTTTTCATAGTATTAGGATGGTTGGTATCTGTTGGAAGTGTTGAGGAATATCCTTTGTGTTGTGCTAAGAAAAAAGCTCTTCTTTGTATTAGCTTGATTGTTCAGAGCTTCTCCACTGTGTGTGAAGGCTTTTGTACATAGGAAAGGCCAAATAATAACTTCAGGTTTTAGCCTGTAATTTCAGCTTAGTTCTTTAATGTCCTTTTATTTTATTTTGCCTGCACATAATGTTTATTTTAAAACCAGGCAGTTAACTGGCTAATTTCTCTGATACTTTACTAACACTTCACACAAAAGGAAAGATTTTACAGAGGGGAATCTTGCTTAATAAAGATAATTTACTTCTAGCGTTTATTTCTTGAAACAATGGAAGTAAAGTCCAGACTAAAGAATCCTCTACTTCATTATTTCCAAGAATTTTGGCAAGTTTAGACTTTTTTTCAAGTCTATGGAGTTGCATTGAAGTAACCTTCTATGCAAGCTAGTGTTTTTGTGAAAAGTATTCAGAATAAAAAGCTGTTAGACTTGGTTTGCATTCATTTTAACAGGAAGCGCTTGTTTTATAGGCAAAAAGAAGTGGAAGAAAACTTGCTGCCTCCCGTCCTTTGTGATTTTCCTGTTCATATTGTCCTGCATTGTTTCTGGCATTGCTTTGCTGGCCATCTTTAACGTAGAACCAACAAACATGACAGTGAATGCGATCCTCATATCAGTTGCGTGCGTTGTTGGCTTGGCCTTCGTCTTGAACTGTCGCACCTGGTGGCAAGTGATGGATTCGGTTTTAAATTCTCAAAGAAAACGGCTTCATCATGCTGCCTCCAAGCTCCACAAGCTCAAAAGCGAGGGCTTCATGAAGGTAAGCATCCATATGAACTAGCCATTTAGAAACAAAAAAGCCCCAAATCCAATTGTAAACCTGTAGTATTTCTAAGAGGTGGTGGCACTGATTTCATCAGGCCAAGTCTATCAACAGAAGAAGAAGTTCTGGCAAATTTTAACAGAAAGGAACACTTCTTTTCCACTGGAAGTTATGCTTAATGTAATGTAATGTCCTCTGAGGTCCCTTCCAACCTTGAGCATTCTGTGATTCTATGATCCATGTTTACTCAACTAGGTATGTTAACTTTGTATTATATTTTCAGTTTCTAGTTTTATTTTTGTTAGGGGGAAAATATTAGGAAAACATGATCTCTATTGCGTAAAAGTTTAAATTATAAGGCTAAGAAGAGTAATTTCTACAATATTATAAAAGGAAAAAGTCAACCTGTCTGTCTGCAAGACTTCTTTGCTAAAAAAAAGAATGATAGCACTGAAAGCACGTTCCAGAAGAGTTCAAATATTTTGTGAAAAATAGCAGAAAATATTAGGTTTTTGTTGGATTGTAACATAGTTTGTATTTTTTAAGCAGTTTAGCTATCAGAAGAACAGCAGAAAACATGAGGCTGTCATCAAATATCTGTCTTTATTTGAAGATTAATTCTTCAAGTTAATCATGACAGTTACTTCTGTAGGTTACAGATCAGGTATTGTACAACCTCCTCAAACATTTAGGTAGCACAAAAGACCTTATCTGTGTCTGTTTTGAATGGCACTCCGCTTTAGACATTAGACCTTGAAAATGTAGACTTGTCCCTAAAGCAGAGAGAATGGACTATTCCAGATTGTGCTTCTTGTGAGTTATCTTAATGTTTGTAATGTTAATGGTCAGTAAACGTAATGATAAGTCAATTTGATTTAAATGTCTAGCTTTTGGTTATTAAAACTAGGACGAATGAATTTCAACTTTGCTTCTTTATTGAAGGAAAGTCTAATTGTATGTTATATGGTTACATGTCTAGTTTCATATTGAAAAATTAAAAACTTTCAGATTGCAAGAGTATAAATCATGACTGATCATGCAACTAGTGAAATAACTTGTATAGAAGGCAGATACAAAATTTCAGTGCAAGTTTTAGCAAAGCAATTTTATGGAATTAGCAGAAGCTACGGATTCTTGCTTGCTTACGGTTGGAATAGTGATTTGCAGTATGGAAGACTACTTTATAAGTAGAGCTGTAGTGGAACTTAAGGAAGGTTGTCTCATTAAAATGAAATATGCTATTTTGCTCTACATTTCTTGGTAGAAAATAAAATATAAACATGATGCTTTAGGTCTATTACAGCTTGGGGAGAGTTCAGTATTTGTAAGTATTTGTTCTTCTAGTCTTATTGAAGTATTTTAGTATCAATCTGTAAAAGGAATTATATATATATTTTGTGAGGTTGAAATACTGTAGAAATGTCTTTCCTTCCTTGCTCTTCCTTTTTTAGGTACTGAAATGTGAAGTGGAATTGATGGCCAAAATGGCAAAAACCATCGACAGCTTCACTCAGAATCAGACAAGACTTGTTGTAATTATTGATGGATTGGATGCTTGTGAGCAGGACAAAGTTTTACAGATGCTTGATACGGTAAATTGAATCATAGAGATGCAATCTCTGCTTTTCTGTCTTCAGTAACTTCTAGTAGCCATGTACTTGCCATAAGGGGAAGTTAGGTGCAGAGTGTCTCCGAATTAAAGTCATTTTCTTAATGTTTCGGCATAGATGTAATAATAAGTCATGACTTTAAGCAGCTGAGAGTAAAGACCAAGGAGATTTCTTGCAATATACATGTTATACATGTTATAACATGTTTTGAACTCATAAGCTGTAAATCAATATCTAATTAAAATGAGCATGATTTCAATAATAATTTCTTGGTGGTGATGTCTTATTATCTGCTTTCTTACAGGTGAGAGTCTTGTTTTCCAAGGGCCCATTTATTGCTATTTTTGCAAGTGACCCGCACATCATTATAAAGGCTATTAACCAAAATCTTAATAGTGTCCTTCGTGATTCGAACATCAATGGACATGATTACATGCGAAATATAGTCCATTTGCCTGTGTTTCTGAACAGCCGTGGGCTGAGTAATGCAAAAAAGCTGATGGTAGCTTCAACCACCAATGGGGATATTCCCTATACAGAGAATGCAGGTAAGGAGATGCAGGAGAATTATATGCAAGTTAAAAAAGCAATGCTATAAAATGCACTTTTTTAGAACAAACTACTTAAATTGTTGGCAAATCATTAATTAAAGCAATACATATATATGTAAAGCATTTTTCAATTCATATATTTTTAATAGGATTGCATGAAGAAGTTGACAGAAGAGTTTCTCAGAACAGTCTTGGAGAGATGACCAAGCTTGGTAGCAAAACTGCTCTTAATAGACGGGTAAGGAAGATTTTAGAGTAAATGAAATATTGTTAATACCTTTTCTTTCAGATTTTTCATTATGTCAGCTTCCAAGACTTAAGCAGACCTTTATTATTAAATTAACATTGATGGTCCTTCTAGGAAAAATACCTCTAAACTGGTGGTCTACCAGAAAGGAAGAAGTTTGATCACCAGAGCATTTTCTTTCACAAAGACTTAAATTCAGAAATGGTTGGAATGTCCAAACTCTTTGCAAATGCTGAGCTGTCTTGGTCATCTCTGTATATAGGTATCTTTTGGGTATAAGGCCAGTATTATCTAATCTGAGGCTGTTCCTACAAGGGGCAATAATCCAGCAAATCAAGGAATTTGGAATGTTATGAGGCTTTTACAGCAGCATGTTCTCTACTTTTTTTTTCCGATTATTCTCTCTGTTCTCTCTCCCAGACATAGTACCAGAAAGTTGATCAAATAAAGTGCATATATCACATTACGTTGCTAAAGCAAAATATATTCCATTAAGTATCTTTTATGGATTTTCGCTTCAACCTCACAGACACTTTATTCATGAAGTTTCTAGTTCTACAGGCGAGTAAAATTGAAGTCTTCCAAATAGCTATGGATTTTTGGCACTAATCAGTATTGCTTGCTTTTTGATTTAATTATTAGGATACTTACAGAAGACGACAGATGCAACGTACCATCACTCGCCAAATGTCTTTTGATTTGACCAAGCTTTTGGTTACAGAGGATTGGTTCAGTGATATCAGTCCTCAGACCATGAGAAGATTACTTAATATTGTGTCTGTGACAGGTGAGCATTGCACATATGGGTACAGTAAATGGTACTGGCTTTAGATTGATGACAGTTACATCATGTGCAGTTTTTAATGTGAAAACTGAATTTAACAAGTCAGCCAGGTTACTATCAATGTGTACGAAAAACAGAATTTGGACACTGTTTTCAAATATATGTTAAAAAATGTATTGGAAATTCAGTTGGAAATTGGAAAACTGTTGGAAAATCTTTGCAAAGCAAAAGCTCCTAGAGTGCTAGCAAAGTATGAAAAGATATATTTTAAATTATTATTTTTAAGTACAGCTAAGAAAATACTTGATTGTTGGTGTCTCATTGAATGAAGTTAGTGGGAGTTAAGTATTTCTAATCTACTTTTTTAAGAAGTATGATATTTTTAATCCTGGAGTAATAAAAACATGCAACATTTTAACTTTCCTGAAGCAACGAAGGCTTCCAGTCAGCGTAGGAAAATCAGGTAGGGAACACCTAGGCTGGACAAGTACAAGTCCATGTTTCCTAGTGGGAGGTACCCGTAAGGGAGCTGGCCAGTGTCATTGCTAAGCCACACTCAGTCATCTTGAAAAGATCATAGGTGTCTGGAGAAGTTCCAGAGCATTGGAAGAAATGTTACCTTTGTGTTTTAGAAGATAAGAAGGAGAATTTGAAGATTTGCAGACTAGTTGGCCTCACCCCAATTCCTGGGAATGTGATGGAGTATCCTAGATAGCATTTCTGGACTCAGGAAGATGATGAGGAGTAGTCAGCATGGATTTATGAAGGGGAAATAATGCTTAACCAACCTGACAGTCAACTGTGAGGAGATAACTGGATTGGGGGGTGAGGAACAAGCAGTGGACATTGGTTCCTGGTGCCTTTAGGACTGTCTCCCATAACATCCCCATGAATAAGCTTATGGTTTTTTGCTAAAACATCAGAATTGTAGCCGTGTTACATAATTACTAGGTTGAAGACTCTATTCATGAAGCTATTCGTGGAGTTACCATGAAGCTAAAGAAGTGATCGGGGAGGAGGATTGAAAACTGACTGAACTGGCTTAAGAGTCGGAAGTTCAGCTGGAGGCCTAGTCACGTCCCATTTTAGGGCTTACTACTTCGGACCAATACTGTTTATTATCTTCATTAATGGCCTAATACAGAAATATTGCAATTGCCTAATGCAGATAAAGCACAGATTCAAAAAAGCTGGTTCAGCCTCAAGTGAATGTGGTTGTGTTGCCTCCAGTGGCTGCAGTTAAGGCAGCCTGTCACTGATCCCTGGCACCTACCTGGAGCTAATGAACTTGTGCAACCATTTAAATTTAAGCTTTAAGACTGTTTGCTTTCCAGCAGTGCACAGAGTAATAATATAGGCTGGACTTGAACTGATTCCTGCAGATCCATTTGGATTGTGGGGAGCTGCTTCAGCAGTATCACTGAGCACTTAACATTGCACTTCTGGGAGAGCTTATTTCCAGCATGGCCCAAGTTGGCAGAACGGGTTCAGGTTTCTTGCAGTGCCAAGGTGATGATCATCCCAGCAGGAGATGTGAGAGAGACATAAGGCTTGGCTCTCCAAGCTAAAATTCAGCCCTGGACAACTGACTGGGGTGACACTGAGTGGCTACTTATCTCTGCAGGTGCTTTCCTGCTTATCCTGGCTTATCCTAACGTCCCTTCGTGCAGGTTATGATAAATTGAATATAAGTGCTTCTTCTGAGCTAAATAAAACAATCCATTACACGCTTCTATTCCACTGTATTAGTCTAGTAATAGTAGAAAAGCATTAATGTCTTTTCTCTCCCCAGTTGACTCTTACAAGTAGTGATGGTTTATGCGTGACAAAAGACCTACAATTCAGAGCGAAGAGATGTAGAACTTCACAGGAATGCGCAGTCTCTCAGCACTGTCATTACAGCTTGAAGCGCAAAATGTCTGTTTCTGGCAAATTACAGTGCAGATGAGAAAGTTTACTAAAGGCACAAACTGTTAGTTACCAGGTGTAAAAATAGCACTGCAAAAACCCTTTTATCTGCCAGTGCTCTTTGGTTGCGTACGGTAACTTCATGAAGAGCTTCATGAATAGAGTCTTCAAGCTAATAATTATGTAACACGTCGATAATCTTAGTGTTTTAGCAAAAAAAAATTGCTGGAACTTGAAATACACAAGCTCTGGCATTAACTTGTGTCATTCATTCTTTTTCTGCCTTTTTAAAATGCGCTTTATAGTTAAACTTTGCCCTGCTAAACAGAAAACTGCCTATTGTTTACAGCTTTGAAGTTTTCTTTATTCACTCAGCAGCTGTATCTTTACTTGCTTTGACTATGATATTTCATCCCCCAGTGTGCAAAACCAGTACTAACGTAACTTCCAATTTGAAGTTGGAAATTCAGTGAACTTCTGGCTTGAGTTCTGTAGTGACTTTAAGTTCACCTTAACAGGATGATAGTAATTAGTGTTTAATATAGAGTAGAAGTTGATAGTTTTGGAGAGCCTCGTGTTTTGATCAGTATCTTCAAAACTTTTTTTCAGATTGTCAAATAATGCTTTAGATATGCTGTGAGGTGAATTTGAGCTTGCTGAGCTAAAAATACAATACCAGGAAGTTAACAGATTAGGTCAAGTTGACTTATGTAGCTGCTACTTTCACAAAAAGACTTTTTCTTCTGAAAACTGCAACCCAAAAATCTGTGCTTGTTCCCTTGTTTTGTCTCATGCTCAGGTCGTTTATTGAGAGCTAATCAGATCACGTTCAACTGGGATAGACTGGCTAGCTGGATCAATCTCACAGAGCAGTGGCCTTACCGAACATCGTGGCTCATACTGCATCTTGAAGAGACTGAGGGTGTTCCAGATCAGCTGACTTTAAAAACCATCTATGAGAGGTAGGCATTATTCTAGTAGTTGAATACGCTTTCAGTTATTAAAATTGCAGCATTATTTATGTTTTTTGTAATAACATGGCTTTCGAACAGCCACCGAGACATAATCCAAAATTGCTACAGCCTTGCTCTCTTCTCCTAAGTTTCAGCAACTTACTGACTTTTAAATGGTATTCATTACCAATTCACCATTTTAAAATACATATATTTTAAATTAAAAGGAATGGAATATACTAGAAATCTTTTACAGATAGCTGATTGTGCATCTGTCTCCTCTCTGTTTTCACTTCCACTTTGGCCAAATTACAAGAGGTTCTTTTCTTGCAGAAGTTCTTGCAGACCTCTGTTCAAGTATCCTTGACATTCCTGGTTAAATCTCTGGGGGGTTGTTTTTCACTGGTTGTGTTTGGGAATATGACATTGCCTTTATGATGGCCTTAAAGACTGAAAAGGTGAAGCTTGGCTCCCTCTTTCAGCTGCTGATACAAGTTGCTGATCAACTGAGTTGTCTTTGGTCTTGCAATAGAGAGCAAGTGGTCCAGTGAACCGGCCTCTCGCTCCAGGATCTGGTTGTTTTCCAGAAGGAAAACAGCTCGTGGTGAGCAGCCTGATGACACTAGGAAGAATAAAAGAAAACAGGCTGAGGCTATAGCAAAATGTGTGAATGGAAGTCCATGAGAAGAAACAAGGATTTGAACTTGTGTAAAAAGTAATATAAGGTCAGGTGAAAAGAATGGCTGAAGTAAAGATGGAAGACAGGGATTGTTTGAAGAAGTTGCTGGAAAAGTTAAAGATTTCTCAGAGGCGGAAGGAAGAGTAGAGAGGATAGAAAAAAAAGATTATTCCAGAGAGTAAGTCCTGTGTTTTTCCTTGATACTTGTGAAATCATACTGGTGCTATGTGGGCCCCTCACCCTAGTGAAGGGTGACTTAACACTAATAATGTCACAAAATTTCATATTTGGATAGTAATTCAATATCGTCAGGAACTCTCTTTTGTCTCCCATACGTCCCAATACTCTCGCTGTGTTGCTGGGGTGTTTTTTTTTGTTTTGTTTTTGTTTTTTTGGGGTTTTGAGGTTTTTTTTGAGGCTTGGAATGCTTCATAATTTTACATTTTCAATAGTTTCATTCAACAGTTTTTTATTCCTTAAATGCAGTCTATGCAATCTGTATGATTGTCATCTGGTTAAAAAAGACAATTACTCTCTGAGAAAAATAAGTCAAAGTAATATTTCAGAAACTTAATACCTCCTTTATAAGGTATCAGGTATACCTCCTGATATCAGACTTTTTGTCTTTAACAGTATGGAAAAAACCTCAGCTGTTTGCCCTTTAGAGACATGAAGTGAATTTAAACTGAGACATTTTTGAGCTAACCTGATGGAGGATTTTGTCCTGAGGCAGAAATACAGTCACTCTCTGAGGTTCCATTGTAGGTTTGACTTTGTAGAGTGAAGATACAGTGTTTCACTGAATATAAACTGAAGGGTCTAGACTGTATATCCGAGCAAAGCCTATATTTATTTTTTTTTTATGGGCTTTTCTTCATGTCACAACTTATTGGTGGCACAGTATAATCAGCATTGCCAGTTGTTCCCTTGGAGCTTCCGCTGAACTTTTCATGACAGATCTTCAGCTTTGCATTAAATTTAGTCATTCTGTCTGCTGTACAAATCCCACACAAATCGGTAGTGGTGTGAGGTGAGTAGGTAAGTAGTAGTAGTAAATAATCTGAACTAAACGTGTAAGCATATCCTTTTCACTAAAATCAAGTACAAATACTTCATATTACTACTTTGTGCTGCTGGCAAGTAGTAGGTAGGTGCCAGACTCCTTGTTCCTTTTCCTTTTGTGCACACTGAGTACTCTCCTTGTAGTTAGGTATTCCCTGTGCTCAGCTCAGGCAATACGTTTCTTTACCCAGTGAGGCTGTACTTGCTACAAACACTCACCTCAAACTCGTTTGTGGAGCTCATTACTGCCATTGATTATTAGTGACAAAAGTTTTAAACCTCTTTGGAATGATCCAAGCTGCCTTCAAGACATACCACTTTGGATGAACTTCCTGATAAATAAACCAAAGGAGAAGTTATGAGATATAAATTGTTCTCTTAAAAGGCTACTATTTCAGCATAGACTAAGATTAAATCTATATTGAAAGAAGGTAAAGTGCAATTGCCACAAAATGTGAGCGAGTTGCTCAGACTGTGGATTTTTTACCATTAATGCAGACACTGAGGCTGCTGCCGTGGAGCGTGCCAGGATTTATTAGTTCAGGTGCAGGGCTGCCTGGCCCTTGCTGTGGGGTTCACAGAAGCAGGTTGTGTTTGGAAGTGATACAGCCGAGTGCCTGGAGAGCCAGTTCACGTGGTGGGTTTAGGGTGTAAAGCTGGGAGCTGGAATGCCAAGAACTGTGTGTTGGGTAAGGGAAATGGGTGGCCATTTCAAACAGTGCTGCTTGTGATCCGTGTGCTACACCAAGGAAACGCTGGGAAGGCGACAGGATACAAGCAGAGCAGACGTGTAGGTAGTGTGGAAGGCAGATGGAGTGCAGGGGTTGAGCTGGGTCCCTATTTGACTTGTGCCAGCAGGTGGCACTGGGACAACAGCGGCTTTACAAGCACAGAGCGAGCAGTGCTGATAGAGCAGCTACACCAATACCAGGTCGTGTCAGTGATCTTCCCCCCAGATACTTTGTTTTCCAGAATCCTTCCCAAGAATAAGAATACTTTGACAAGATACAAAAAATATTTTTATAACTGTTTTTTTTCAGTTTTGGTAAAATTTGAAGAATCAAATACTCGAGCGATAGGTTGCGATAGAATAAAATTCATCTTCGACTAAGTTTCCTCTATGTGTGCATCATGATAAACAATTTAGAGGATCTTATTCAGTTCCTCCCCCTTCCATCTTACAGGATTAATTTTTTTGGGTGTGCAGGATTGATTTTAGAGGCTAGACAGTGCAGGTTGTGTAGCAAAAGGGGAGCATGTTTGGTGCTATCTGTTGTAACTGTGGAATTTACAATAGAATCATAGAATCATAGAATGCTGAAGGTTGGAAGGGACCTCAGAGGTCATCGAGTCCAACCCCCCTGCTCACGCAGGGTCACCTAGAGCACGTGGCACAGGGCTGCATCCAAGCGGGTTTTAAAGATCTCCAAAGAAGGAGACTCCACAATCTCTCTGGGCAGCCTGTTCCAGTGCTTTGTCACCCTCACAGTGAAGAAATGCTTCCTTAAGTTCCTGTGGAACTTCCAATGCTTCAGTTTGAAGCCATTTCCTCTAGTCCTATCCCTGCCCACCACTGAAAAGAGGCCGCCCCCCTCCTCCTCACTGCCTCCCTTGAGGTATTTATACACGCTGATCAGGTCCCCCCTCAGCCTCCTCTTCTCCAGGCTGAACAGGCCCAGCTCTCTCAGCCTTTGCTCACAGAGCAGATGTTCCAGGCCCCTGATCATCCTGGTAGCCCTGCGCTGGACTCTCTCCAGCAGCTCCACATCCCTCTTGTACTGGGGAGCCCAGAACTGGACGCAGTACTCCAGATGTGGCCTCACCAGGGCTGAGTAGAGGGGGATGATCACTTCCCTCGACCTGTTGGAGACGCTTTTCTTAATGCACCCCAGGATCCCGTTGGCCTTCTTGGCCGCCAGGGCACACTGCTGCCTCATGGTCAACTTGTCGTCCACCATGACACCCAGGTCCCTCTCTGCGGGACTGCTCTCCAGCAGGTCCACCCCTAATCTGTACTGGTGTCCAGGGTTATTCCTCCCCAAGTGCAGGACCTTGCACTTGCCCTTGTTGAACCTCATGAGGTTTCTCGCCGCCCAGTCCTCCAGTCTGTCCAGAAAGGAAGAGTTTTCAGGAAGAGTTTTCAGGAAAAGCAAACTATGCCAACTGAAAGCTGTTCCAGAACTGTTTGTCAGAGACTAATCACCTGCCTTGTACCTTTTACATGGGTGGTGATTGTGCCTGCATGGGAAGGTAGGATGAGCTTGTGAACCTGGCAGCAACCTCATCATGATTCCGTAGTCACGCAGTAAACCGGGAGCATTCGGAGCTGTGGCTGAAGCTGGGAGCTCTGCTGCTGGCACCTGGGAGTGCTCCCAAAAAAGGCACAGCTATCTGGGTATAACAGATTTCTGGGTATAACAGATCATATTCTTTCTGAATATAATTCCAGCCCTGTGGAGAGAAATAGAGTGGTGTCTTGAGGGAGGTGCTCGAAAGAGAGACAGTGACTCCCTGCCTTGGTGCTTAGAGGTGCTCACTGGGAGAGGAGTGTCTTGAATTCTGTTTTCTGTCCCCAGAAATAAACTTACATTTTGTTTAATGAATAATATCCTGGGGAATTGAGGTCTTCACAACACTTCTATTCAACATTTCCTACTGGCTGGTTGTGTTCTTACTCTGCTCATTGTGTCTTGGTGTCACAAGAGACAGTCCTGGCTGTGACTGTTTGCCTAGGCTTTGCTCGAGAAACCTGAACTGCAGAGCTGAGACGGGGCTCCTCAGGGCTTTGCGAGGATCCCTTTGGCAAGGGCTGCTGCTTCCTGCTTCCCAAATTTCTGTGCTGGGCCTATTCCTGTGCTCATTCAGGTATAAGAGCCTGAGAGCTTGACTTAGGATAGAGAAAGCCCTTATGAGCCATATTTGCCTATTAGGAGCTCCCCCCTTTACTTTCCTTTTTTCTTTTTCTTTTTTAATCTCTTTTTTAAAATTTATTTTCCTAGAAAACATGCTCTTTATGAAGGTAAGGAAACTGTGGAAATTAAGATTCTTAAATTTAAGAATCTTAAATATTGTCCAGCACTAGACAATAGTCATGCTTTCCTAAATGAGGTAAATAACTACACAGTGAAAATTCTGCAGTGTTGAAACTTTATCCTCTAGTTCTCTGTGCTTTTTTTCAGGTTAAACTGGTGAAGACTAGGTCAGTTGTAAATGTATGAGCAATTGACTAAAGTAGATTTGGGGTTCTGTAATTGTGCTATGTTTTACT